GGATTGTTGGTAATAAATGTTACTGGTTAAAGGGATATTTAACGGTCCGTACGGCAAGAGAAAATGTAAATCATGTTGTAATGAATTGGATATCATGTGTCACTGATTATAATTAAATAATAACAAGAGTGCTAAAATAGTTGTCAAGTAAAGTTCGCGAATGTTACATTATAGAACTGATACTATTGAAATTTCGACCAGTAGATATGTACACATATATCCCTTTGCACATCTTGATTAAAGATGAATGGAAAAATTCTCAAATAATAAAAATTAATGTACCTTGAAGGATGCATCATGAATGATTTAAACTGTTGAAGATAGTGCTAAAGTTCAAAAAAGGGAAAGAAAAACGAATTCAGAAAAAAAAGTGTGACGGAAGTAGACGGATATATTCGGTTTCAAAACCGATGGAATTTCTTTTCACATTGTTCCTGATCATTTCATAAATCGGTATTAACATGATTTCTGTTATTCTTTTCTTTAAACAATCTGTGAGACAACTTATGAATTATGTGAAATGTTACTAAATGAATAATGATATTAGTAAATTTTGATCTCAGTGCTGCATTCCGGAATATAGGATTGATGGTTTTATTTAACCCACTTGTCGAAAAGGACTTCTTGTTGAACTGATGAGTTGATCAATTTGGGTGTCAAAATATTTATTTTTTAAATTTTATGTAACAAATCATTTACTTGAGAAATTTACGAATTTCAATTAAAAACACTCATAATATTTTTTTTCGGCTTCACCGACAGAAGCCGGTAGGTATGTTTGGGATATTTGAAAGAGCATGATCCACATCGTGTTTACAACCTACTGTCAATATCATTATCTAATTGATTGGGCGGAATGGCTGATGCAGCTCTAACCGACAACAATCCAGAATGACAAACTAATTCATTGATAACGGATTCACTAATGGCATCAGATTTGTATAAGCAAGATTTAAAGGCAGTTCTTTATCATTATAGCAGACAAATTACTTTATCAAAACATTTAATAAAATTGGTTAAAAATTTTGCCAATAAATGCAAGCATTCGTCGAATGTACCCAAAGTTCTAATGGAAAATTTTTTTTATATATTCTTTTTATATAAAACCCTTAGATAATTCTCGCAAGGTGAAAAATAAAGTTGAATTTTAAGACCAAAATTCATTGATGGCAAAATATTTTGAAGTCGTCGAGGGAGTTGCCATCGTCGGGGATGCTAACATTAGAAGATATTACCATCGAAGTTGTCGATGTCGATATCTTCGATATTAACAACAACATCGTCGGGGATGTTAAGATAGTCGAAGATGTCACCATCGAGATCGTCCAAGATGTTAAATTTTTCTGAGGGATACTCATCATTCGAGCGATCTTGTTGACTTGCTGAACTTTGACCGGCAGTGTGATGATTTCGTGTGTCTGCCAAAATATGTTCCAACTGTGGATTTTCTTCCCTTGGGTCTAGAATGAACTTTGCTTAGATATCACTTCATTGTTCATTCATTTCAGGTAGACAAATAAATGCTAAAAACTCTGCTGAATTTGCAAAACTGAGAAGCTCTGCAGGACATTTCAGTGATTTCTTATTACTGAGGAAAAGAACACAATAGAAAATTCGTTCCATTATTATGATGACGTTATTGTTATCATTGTCAATGTCAGAAAAACTCCGAAAATCCTAATGGAAATTTTCTGTCGGATTACCGAAATTTAAAGCTAGTATCGGAAAAAACTGAAGGAACTGTAATACGTCCAAATAGCTAAAGAATTTGTTGTATAAATTGGCAAATAATTTCTCCTTTGTTTACTCCGTTCATTGTCATATCAGTAATTGCCAAACACCCGCTGCGATAAACGACAAGCAGCTATCTACTGAGGTTAGAAGAATACTGCAGTGAGTATTGAATTTTGATTTTGAATTTTGAATTGCCACTTTACTATCGCAAATGTTTTCATGTGAACAAGCACGTTGAAACTTCTTTTGCTAAACATAAACTGCGCGAAACTAACCTCTAACTCCGTGGCATCGTTGGTTATATTCTTGCAGTTTATGCTTAGAAGGAAAGGAATCGCTAGAATTTTCACGTTGAGCTTTAGATTGATGTATTTCGTAATGATCTCGAAGTCCCTCTTGGGTAAAGAATTTCATTCTACATTCGCGCCAAGTGCACGTATATTTTCTGTGCGTTTCACGATGTTCTAGATATTCCTTCAGCGTCTGCATAGTCGCATTACAAAAACGACATTTATACTTTTGCCCAACTGAAAAACTGTTATGACATTCGTGTTTACAAATACCATTTTATATGCCAATTAATAAATACAATTTGAAATATGACTGTTATCAGCATCATTCATTGAACCTATTAAAGCATATTTCGACTTACTTAAATACGAGATGTTGTTCATTTCTTTCATATCGCATGTTTTTTTTAAAACAAAAGGCTCATTCTTATTGTTGCCTCTAATGGAAGAATGTCGGATAAGGGATAACTCTGAATTTTTCGCTGCAACGAGATCAGCTTCCGATTTGGGATTCTTTGTAGTTTATATCTTCAACTTCGTGTAACTAAGTGAAGGGTAAACTTGAAGGGATTTAAACGATTCGTCATTCTATAATTCTTTACTACTTGTTCCCGGTAATTATCCATTAGTGTTTTCCCCGTATCTGAGACAATTAGTGCTAAATCCATGTTGCCACGGATGTTAAAGTTTTCTGAGAATATTCACTGCCCGAGTCTTCTTATTGACTTAATGATGAGCATAGAATGAATATTTCTTACCTGGAATATTTTGAACTGAAGCGATACATAGCAGAAGATTGAACCAAATAATGTATGCCATCGATATAGTGAAGAACAACGCGTAGTACAGAATTTTTGAAATGGCAAAAATGCTCGTATGGAAGCTTTTTATTTCAGATTGGTTGGAATTAAACGACCAAAGGTTCAAACAGTTTTCAATTCGTGCGATTCAAATTATTTTTTATATTTCTCTCCTTTGAATTCTCATTTTCCGATCTCTGAACTAGCAGTTGATCAATACGCCTTCGCACTACTAGAAATAGTGAGAGATTGAAAGTTTCAATGACATGGATAATATAATATTTGCATAAATTGAAACTGGCGGATTATTTGTATTCCTGGTTATAAGAATATTTAATCCGTACGGTATTGAATAACTCTGTCTGCATTTTGTGGCATTGTTATGGAAATATTTGGTTTTTCGTTTTTGTGCGGTTAGTCAATTGTTGATGCAGACATACTGGATGCAAACATATAGTGCAATGCAAACACGAAATAATCTCGCACATATAGTAGGACTTAACCATATTGTAATAATTATTGCTTTTATTAATTCAATTATCGTTTAAGCTACCTGCATTCCAGAAGACCCATAAAATCGTGAATTACACGTGCATTCAGAATCTCGTTCAAACTATATTCCTTTTGAAATTGTGAATTTCTGTGAAAAAAGGAGGAAAAAGAAAAAAAGCAGCGATAGATTTCGTAAGTAACTGATGAAGATGGCTTTTAATAATAAATTATATTATGGCAATAAAGTAAGTGATTTGATTTGATAGCCTTCATAGAGACTAATTGTATTAATTAATAATGGCATTTAGTAAATTTTGATCTCAATGCTGCATTCCGGAATATAGGACTGGTGATTTATCCAACCCATTTGTCGGAAAAGGGTCCTTTTTGAACTGATGAGTTGATCAATTTCAAACAGTTTTCAATTCGTGCGATTCAAATTATTTTTTTATATTTCTCTCCTTTGAATTCTCATTTTCCGATCATTGAACTGGCGGTTGATGAATGTGCTTTGGGATTACTAGAAATATTGATAGCTTGAAAGTTTCCATGACAGAGGAAATGTAAGGATTTGCATAAATTAAAACTGGCGATTGTTGGTAATAAATGTTACTGGTTAAAGGAATATTTAATCCGTACGGTTTTGAATGACTCTATCTGCATTTTGTGACAGTCTTATGGAAATTTTCGGTTTTAATCCGTACGGTATTGAATGTGTTTGCATTATATGTTTGCATTATATGGCATTGCTATGGAAATATTCACTTGCAAAAAAGATGCTTGCAAGAGAAG